AATACCTGGAAGCCAGAGTTACAAATCAGGCAGGGTGCCAGAGCACCTTGAGGAATGAAAATAGTTAAAATGCAGTGATAACTATCAAGCAGCCATCTCTTGCTCATAAAGTGAAACCCTTTAGCAGAGAGGTCAAGAATGCCAAACCCCCAAAAGGATAGTGCCAGATAGTACTAAAGCAGTGAGGAAGACTCACTGAAAAAGAAACCACGAGGCAGGAAAAAAATTCAAACACAATACAAATAATTAAATCACAACAGTAGCTTGTTGTAGCATGTTGAAGCTGAATAGGAAAAATCATCCCATCAATAAACACAGGATTAAACGTCACCAAGCACAGAATTAACCTTCACCAAAAACCAGTTTTAGATCAAAACTCAGAAAGAGTATGTAAACTCATGTTTGAATGTCAATCTTTCTAGCTAGCCAAGAGGCCTTGCTGAATGTCACTCATCTTGGTTCCTTGTCATTAAAAGCTCCTTTCCAGTTATTCAATTATTTCTTCAAAATGCTGGTTGTCCAGGAAGTATTTCCTCCCAACAGCAGTGTAAAAATCTTAAAAGAAAGCCAATCCTCAAGAAGCTCCAGAGACAGGAAGTCTAGATGTTCTGGCAAGAATGTAATAAGGGTGGAAAAAAACAAAAGGAGATTGCTTCTAACTACTGGCTCTCCAAACTGCTTAGAAAGTTAACAAGGGGTTCTATAGAAGTGGATAGAAGTGATAGAATCCCACCCCTGCTCCAAACCAATAATTAATTATGCTGATAAAATCCAAATTTTACTATGCTATGTTTTATCATAACCATCTGGGTGACCGAAGCAGATTCTATTTACAACCAAACGGATGTATCTTAGCCATGTTATGGTGAGAGGGTGGGAAAAACATGGTTTCCTCCTTCCACAATCCCAAATACTAGCTGTTGTAACTCTTAGATGTATTTTGCTCTCTAGTGGGTTTCTTCTATTGAGCTTCTATACTTACAGGGACAACATTAGCTGTGGCTACTAAATCTGGACTGCAAAAATGTGGATAATCACTAGATGTCAAAAAAGAAAGATATAAACCTGCTCCTTCCTCTCACTGGTCATTCATATTTTTGTCACCCAGATTTGGTAACTTTATCTAAAAATCCTAAAGAGAAAAATATCTCTGCCCTAAGTATCTAATTTGTTATATTAAAACATGCTTGAACTGCAAATTTTGTTTAGTTCAGAATTTTCCAGTATGAGTACAAATAACCTTAAGAACTTTAAGAAATATTTTGGTGTGATTCCAATGACTTTCATTTCAGGAACCATGCATTTTCTTTTAATATTGAATGTATTGACTAAAATACTAATATGACAACTTTTAATCACTATAATCATTTGGTTTAGAAATTCATGAATTTGTATAGTCTATATGGTGATAGGGGTTTGTTTCTGATTCAAAAAAAGTATATTTGACATCCAGTTCACAGGAAAAAATGTAAATTGGTACACAATTAAATTATTTTAATACAATAATTTCCTTTTTATTGAAATGAACACTGTAATGCTGGACTAGCAGTTGGAAAGGGCCTTTTATAATAGGCAAAATTATTAATGATACTAAACCAAATGTGGGAGATTTAATCTTTTAATTTTGTTTCGTTATTATGTTAGGTTTGACTGTTGCCATAAAACTCAAATGTTTTCTAAAATATGTAGCAGATGCATCCAAATAGAACATATAAAATATGTTAACCATATGATATCGCAACCCAGTTAGGAAGTATATGTACAAAAGCATTCTTCTAAAATTGATTTGGGACACTTATGTATTAAACAAAATTAAGTATGCCTTGCATTGATATATAATTCAGCAGCTAAGGTAGTAATCTGGTAAAGGAAAATCTCATATACTCCTTAAACCATGCTGACTAGTTGTATAGAAATGAAATAAATAACTCTGTATAATCATTTCCTCACTTTTCTTATGAAGGTATTTTCAGTTTAATTGTCCTGAGTCCAGACAGTGTCAGCTACTAGAATTAAGTAAAATGGACCAGGGCCTTATAGTAACCAAGTTTTCCTTTCCAATATTGTGAAATTGTTGAAACTTTTATCTCAAAGTAAAAATATATTAAGGTGTTCTGTCTCAGCGATTATTTAATCTTGCTTTTCCTAAGTATATGTTTATTCACTGTCTGAACTGTGGATGGAGAAGGGATGATTTTACATTTCATATGTCTTATTAATTGTGTCTTTCCTGAATCCACAAGATGCTTAATAGTCCTGGGTCAAATTATCCGACTAAAAGTTCAAATGACATCATTTTAGTATATGAGAAAAACCTATGACTTACTGGAGATAAATAGACTGATACAGTGTCCAATATAAACAGTGAATACATAAATTCCGTGACAGTACCACACAAGCATGTTATTAGGCCTGGGTTCAGAAGAAAGCATTCTAAGAATCTCAGCTTTCATTAAATTAAAATGAGAAGAAATATCTACTATTCAAATGCCTTGAACAAGGGTGAAATTTTTGAAGTAGCTTACTCTACTTCACCAATAGGCTTCCAAAAATAGGACGCCAATATTATTCGCAATTTTTGTTTTGTTTTGCAGCAATTAAATAAATAACTGGTCTTCCTGCAACTTAGGCCTTTCTTTATCTGCTGCACGTCATGATCAGAATGTTGAGAGCTCTAATCGAATAGGTGTGGCATGTGCCGCATTAGGGGATAGGAACTTCATTCATTTATATTTATTCATCAAAAGGCAACATTCTGCTTTTCTTTGCTTGGAATTAGGATTGGATTACCTTATCCCCCTTTGTTCTATTGCAGAGTATAGGTTATCTGACACTCTCCAGATGTTCTGAACTTCAGCTCACTTCATCCTCAAGCCAATTTGAGTAGTAATATAAAACATTTAGTTGACTGAAAGTTGTATGTCCCATTTCGCTTTAATATTTACAGAGCTCTTAATATAAGTTTTTGACAAAGAATTTTTGTTTATATCATAATGGAGAATGGGTTATTACATAGAAGCTGATCAAATTTTAGGAAGGAGGCCATTCACTGCAGATACAATAACAAAAAGCAGCAACTTTATACTTCTATCCTCTCATTCTACCAAAGTGAGGGACCACTAGCAAGTTCTACTGAGGTGAACAAATAAAAGAAATCAAAATTGGTCCAATAAGTTGCTGCTGGTCAGTTGGTGAGAAGCCTTATAGACCTTTAAAAATTAAAACCAGTCCTTTTACCTGCACTTGGAAGTTCAGGATCAACAGCAGAGATCAGCAGAGATATCACATTTCATGTTTTCCCACATCAACCAAAAATTAAGCGGCTGCATTCTGGACCAATTGAAATTTCTACAAAATCTTCAAAGGCAGCTTGAAGTGATGCAGACAAGGGATGATGACAATATGAATTACTGTTGTGGGGTCTTTTTGCTCCAGATACCATATAACAATAACAAATAACAAATTAAATAACAAACTAAAAGACTCAAGGTCCATCCCACCCCTGAAAGGACCTAATGGTAAAGACTGCAATGATGACACCATTAAAGCAAACATCTTTAACACATTCTTTAACTCAGTATTTCTAAACAGCAATGGATCATGCCCAGCATTTCCTAGCTGAACTACAGAAAACTACAATGATCTAATACATATCAGTTTTACAGAAGACAATGTTGAAAAAGCACCACACAATCTAAAACCATCTCTGTCTATTGGACCGGATGGAATATGTGCCTACTTCTTAAAAAAGCTATCCAGAACCTCTAAGTATAATCTTTGAAAAATCTTTCAGGACCAGCTCTTTGCCAAAACTATGGTCACAAGCCACAGTCATCCCCATCTTCAAAAAGGGAGACCCCAGCCTAGTTGAAAATTACAGACCAATCTTTTATGCTGCATCATCTGTAAAGTCATGGAATCAATTATTAACCAATCCATTATCCTCCACTTAGAGACAAACAACCTACTCTCTAATAAACAATTTGGTTTCAGAAAAAAACTATCCTGTAACCTGCAACTCTTACACTGCAAAAACATATGGACTACACAACTCGATCAGGGCAAAACAATAGACGCTATCTACATAGACTTCTGTAAAGCCTTTGATTCAGTGGTACACGACAAACTACTCCTAAAACTAAAATCTTATGGTATCTCTGGACACCTGCATAACTGGATAGAAGCATTCCTGTCAAACAGACAACAAATGGTCAAAATTGGTAACGTCCTATTAAATTCTGTACCTGTCAATAGTGGTGTCCCCCAAGGCAGTGTTCTAGGACCAACTCTCTTCATACTCTACATAAATGACCTCTGTGATCATATTAAGAGCAACTGCGTTCTCTTTGCTGATGATGTAAAGCTATTCAACACCACAGACAATACTGCTACCCTTCAAAAAGACCTCAACTATGTATCAGAATGGTCAAACAAATGGTAACTTCAAATCTCAACAAATAAATGCTCTGTCTTACATATTGGCAAAAAAATCAGAAAATAAAATACAAGCTGAATAGTCAAGACTTTGTTGATGATCCAAGCTCTGTCAAGGACCTTGGAGTACTCATCTCTAATGATCTAAGTGCTAGAGCCCACTGTAACTACATAGCCAAAAAGGCATTAAGAATTGTTAACCTAATCCTACGTAGCTTTTTCTCTGGTAATATCACACTACTAACTAGAGCATACAAAACATTTGCTAGTCCAATACTTGAATACAGCTCATCAGTCTGGAACCCACATTACAGTTGAGAAAGTCTAGAAATATTTCACAAGAAGAGTTCTCCACTCCTCTACTTGTTGCAGAATATCTTATGCCATCAGACTTGAAATTCTAGACCTAGACAACCTAGAACTACTCCGCCTTCGGTCTGATCTAAGTATAGTATATAAAATCATACATTGCAATGTCCTACCTGTCAATGAATACTTCTGCTTCAACCATAACAATACAAGAGCACACAATAGATACAAACTCAAGATAAACCGCATCAAACTTGATTGCAGGAAATATGACTTCAGCAACAGAACACTTTCTGGTAACACTTTCTGGTAACACTTTCTGGAACACTTTACCTAACTCTCTAGTTTCTTCCCCAAATCCCCAAAACTGTAACCTTAAACTGTCTACTATTGACCTCACCCCTTTCCTAAGAGGTCTGTACATACACCATCATGCCTACCATCCCTGTCCTATTGTTTCTTTTATTTTTCTTATATGTACCCATTTCATGTATGTATATATGTATATACTTATACCTATTATCTTGTAAGCGATTGACAAATCAAATAAATAAATAAAAGATAAATAAATACCAAAGCAAAAGGCACACCAAACAAAGTTGAGCAAATGGGCTACTGACTATAGCTTCCATCAGTCTACTGACTAGTAGACACAGTCCAAAAGGGTTCTCCGGGCATGGACCCAAAAAAGCTTAATCTGTTTTGCTGCTCATCTCCTTTTGTTTGGTTTATTTTAATCACTCTATTATATGTTGTTTATGACTGTATTATCAATGGTATATTATTTTCTTATTGTTCTAGTTCACTAATTTTTTTTTTAAAGTAATTTGTAATAACATTGTGGCATGAACTTCCGTGAAGATACTTTCTTGGGTTCTTTCTTGGGTTCAATTTTCAACCTCTGTTATTCCATCCAGACATTTACAATTCACAAGACTCTTAAGTTAAGAGCATCTCCTACATAGCTAGGATAGTAATGTATGATTGATACCATTACTATGTTGAAGATACTGTACTCCAACCTGGTGGATTATCATCCCAAGTGTTTATGTTAAAAAGCAGGGAGGAAACAACTGAGTCCTGCAACTTTCCAAAAGAGGACAATTACTTGGCTAATCTCTTTTTCCATACCACCATTGACTAGAAGCATTTATGGAGTGGATGAGTGGAACTTCAGCAAAGCAGCCTAATAATCTCCACAAAAAGAGGTCCAGGCAACATGGCATGATGATACCATACCCACAGTTACAACAATAGAATCAACCATGAAGAAATATGTGAGATCTGTCTGCTTTCCCCTCCCTGCCACCCTAAGCATGTCAAAGCAGGATAATGACACTTCAGTTTTTTAAAAATATAACTTCAGTTATTGCAGCAGTGTAGGCTTGAACTTGAAGTCTTATGTATGCTCAGTTAAAATTCATTTTTGTCTCATTCAATATAGTAGAAGAGGAGGTAAACATGAGTCCTGATCAATCTGGTTGGCACTAGCTCTTGTGATTATAATTGTGACAAAATGTGTTGCTGCTATGATTAAACTGAAAATAGGTTAATATATTGTGAGTCTATGCAACTGTATTTTTAAAGAAAGTTAGGAATGTAAAAGTCATATGTAACAAGTTCCTTGAAGATTTTCCAACACACAGGTTTCTGTATAGTAATAAAGCTGCAGAACATTATTTTAAAAATAAATTAAGGGATGAAAGGAGGTTCACTGTAATATAGTCTTTGCCAGTAAACTCTCTTTGTCAATTCTGCTGGCAATTAAATGTGATTAATAGATATAAGTAAAGGAGTTATTAGAATCTTCAGGCTTATGAACATTACAGTCATGAATCTTCTGGAGAAATGCAACAATTTTTACAACATCAGCTTGTAGAAGGCAGCCAAATACCTTCAAAAAGACATAAGAAGATGAAAGTTTAATAAAGCTGAATAACAGCAAATCTTGGCCTGAGAAAAGCACAGATGAGTTTCATCTTTTTACCAGACTTTTACACATTTTTATTGCTTTAATTTAGAGAAAGAAGGCAGAAAAGTTATAAAAAAATAATCAAAAGAAAAAGGCTAAAGTATGGTTAAAGTATTGGTTAAAGTATGGATGAAGTAACTTTTCTGGAAAGCTAATTAATCATCTTGTCTGAGTTTGGCATTAAACACATATGTGTTTAATACATAAATAAAATAAATAACAGCTACTACCATAATATGTATATCATTAATTCTCAGGAAAAAGAACGAAAAGTACAGAACTTTATTTGTGCTGGATTGGGTTTAACATAATCTTGTTTATAGTAAGGTAAAGGTAAAAGTTCCCCTCACGCATATGTGCTAGTCATTTCCGAATTTAGGGGACGGTGCTCATCTCTGTTACAAAGCTGAAGAGCCAGCTCTGTCCAGAGACATCTCCATGGTCATATGGCCGGCATGACTAAATGCTAAAGGTGCACGGAATGCTGTTATGGGACACAGTGGCTCAGTGGGTAAGACATTGAGCTTGTTGATCAGAAAGGTCAGCAGTTAGGTGGTTTGAATCCCTAGTGCCACATAACGGAGTGAGCTCTGATTACTTTCCCAGCTTCTGCCAACGTAGCAGTTCGAAAGCATGTAAAAATGCGAATAGAAAAATAGGGACTACTTTGGTGGGAAGGTAACAGCGTTCTGTGCGCCTTTGGTGTTGTTTATAATAGACACAATTGAAATCAATGAGACAAGTTTATCATGAACAATTAATTCAATGAATAGAATAGAAAAACAGAGTTGGAAGGGCCTTGGACGTCTTCTAGTCCAACCTCCCTGCCCAGGCAGGAAACCCTACACCACTTCAAACAAATGGTTATCCAACATCTTTTTAAAAACTTACAGTGTTGGAACATTCACAACTTCTGGAAGCAAGTTGTTCCACTGATTAATTGTTCTGTCAGCAAATTTCTTCTTAGTTCTAGGTTGCTTCTCTCCTTGATTAGTTTCCACCCATTGCTTCTTGTCCTGCCCTCAGGGGCTTTGGAGAATAGCTTGACTTCCTCTTCTTTCTGGCAGCTGCTGAACGAATTCTTTCTGTTCTGAAAAACCTGAATTTCATGTTAGCCATTAATATTATTTTTGCTCGTTCAAAACAAAATGAACATAAAATGGAAAAGGAATTCATCTCTTGACTTCCTCTTTCTATTTTTTTTTATTGAATTTCATTAATAATATGAATCTGGACTAAACAACTTTTGTGAAATTACTCTTTCTCTCCTTCTCTTCTTTTCCCTTCCCTTCCCCTTTCCCCTACCACTCCCTTCCCTAAAATAGAAGAATCTATTAATCTATTAGTATAACAAAATTGTACCCTCCAAAACTGTATTTTTTTCATTTTGAATGCTCAACTGTATCACATTGGGAGGCCCTGTGGTTCACACAGCGACCTATAAGTACATGCTTAAAAAACTGCAGGGGAAGTTTTCATTTTCTCTATAAATTAACAGTTCTAGGTTATGCTATTTCAGAATTAGCTTTTTCTCAAAAAGACTTCTATCTATATAAAGGATGCCTGTTTTTAACCTTATTACATGATTTTTCATGATTTATTTTATTTTTTATTCTCTTGATAATGCCATAATTTATGTTACAGAGCCTTCCATTATGTTGATGAAATCTCATCTGAAAAAGCCAAGTGAAAAGCATGTTCTGCTGATGTCCTCTTAAGGAATTTAGTGAAAGTGTGAGAAATCAGGAACACTGCAAACTGAAGAGAAGTTTGGACAGTGAAAGACAAGATAATCCACCTACTCACAATGAGCAATTGACAAGTAAATACTAGTACTGCAATGGAAGATAAGTATTTGCATAGATTGATTAATGAATACAATAACCCTGTTAATCTTATAGCTGGCAACACACAGGAAGTAATCATGAAAAATGCAATTGTGATTAATCTAATAACAATGGACATTACTATGGGACTGATGAAAATCAGTGTGCAAAATGTGATTAGCCTCCATAGATTACACTGTGGAGCATGTTACTGGGTTCAGGAATTTTGGCCAGTGAGGGCAACAGCTATAGTACTCGTATTTAAGTTGCTCAGAAATAATACAAGTGGTGAAAACAGATAGGTAGATAAATAAATAAATAAACAAATACAATGAATCCACTCAAAACATGAATTATGTGTTAAAATAATAAATGCGAGTTACAAATAAATAAATAAATCATTGTTTTGTTTATTTAGTCTGTCTATCTATTTACTTAGTATCTGGAATTCTTGCTGAGCTATCTTCCCTTGAGAGAAGCACAGTATTCCATTCACAATATTCACAATATTATTATTTATTTCTCTTCTCCCAAGAACACAGTAAGATTAATGAGAAAAGGACTATACTGTCATGAAGATAGATGGATCCATTTCTTATCTTGTGCTAAAAAAATTCCCTCCAGATTATGTATAAATATATGCTAGTTAGATTAAAAGAGAAAGTAGATGATTAAAAGATTTAGATCATTAAGAAATATAAAAACTATTTCTGGACAGCCTAATAGTAAGTAAATATATTTGATAAGAAATTTCTTAAACTTTCAAATAATTTACTGTCTCTAATGCTCAAAAAACCCACAAATTTTGTCCAAGTGAGGCTGCAGATTGCCAGTGTTGTACATAGAACACGTTCTTTTAGTTCTGTTCTTTTGTAGTGACATATTTGTTTACAACACTTTGTCCTAATGTTCCTGCAATGTCCTGACATTTCATTACAGAGAGATACACTCTCACTTGCATTTTCCAACAGTAGGATTAAGGTCTTTTTATGTTTGCCCAATTGCAGGCTCTTAAAACCACACTGATAGGTGAAGAATATGGGAAATATACATTGCTCCAAATAGGATCAAGAAATATTTGCCATATCTAGCTGAAGTGGAGGAATGACATCCATAAATGAGGATTAAAGTATTGCTAGTTTTAACTCTGTAATTTGTCTTGTCTGTAGAACACTGACATTAGCTAACATAAATTAGCTTTCCAAAACTTACCTTAAAGGCAAATCAAGACTCCCAAATGTTTTAAAGTTATTATAGTTCATCATAGCCATAAAAGGACAAACAATGTATGGCATGTCTATTGCATTATCATTGAAAGGCAGCATAGCTGGCATAACTAAATTAACTTATGAAACTGGAAGAATCTTGAACTGTTTATCCTGTGAGTGAAAAGTCAGTGTCTTATCAGCTGAACTTCTTTGGCCCAACCCACTGTACTTATGAAGAACATTTTCATCTAAGCAGTGTGTCACTGAATCTTGTTTTAAGCAACAACTATATTCCCACTGTAGAGAAGAAGAGATCATATATTCAAGAGTAATTTGTACTATATTTTAACACTAGAAAGAACACAAACAACTTAGCATGCTCAAAGATCTTCCAATTTCCCTTTCCCTATCA